CGCTCCCAAGCGGCGCACTGTAGCAGTGCGCCACCGGGCCGGCCCTTAATCTCTAATTTTAAATCCAATATTAAAACATAACTTAATGTAACTTAGAATGGAATTAATTAAACACACACACACACACACACAAGCTGCTGCTTTTTTACATGTGCCATTTGTCAGTAATCAAACACCTAAAATCAAGTAATTTTCAGACATATTTTTAAATTAAAGCAACCTGACTATAGACAAAGCTATTTAGATTTTGGGCACTTAGCTTACATTTAGATTGCTGCAACAGTAATCTGACAAGGTATTCTTCCCAACTCATATTGGAATTTAAGTTGCTTTTAATGTGACTGCATTTATAGGGAGTCTCTGCCCAATAAATTAAAGCTCTGACATGGTGAAGTTGCTCCTAATAATGAAGATGTCTTGGGGGAAAGGGGAAGAAGTGGAGGGGAAAAATAACCTTTGACTAAACGTGAGGTAAGAAGGCAATGGATTCAATGGGAAAAACAGAATGCTTTAGGAAAATATATAGATAGATAGATACACACACACACACATGCACACATATATGTATAATGCATGTATAAAGCTCTTCCTATTATATCTAGTGAGTGGATGGAAAATATACCTATCAGATATTCTGTGATTTCCCATTTCAGACTCATACAGAAGTTAAAAGTGCCAATATTAAAGCCTTTAAAGTGGTCACCTTTCTGCTAAAAGCTTACTTCCCATGACAAATCATGAGCAGAAGAACAGCACCCTCTTACCAGAGCCAGGCTGTGCTTTTTTTGTATTGCACCTCCTCAGGTCCTTCTTTTCCATGTTTTAACTGCAACTCCAGCTCTCCTATTCTTCCCTGCAAAAAACACAGCATAAATCAGCATGCAGACTTGATGACCAAAGTAATCTTCCAATTTCTTTGGGAAACAAAAACATATCCTTTTCCCAGTTGAACTTCAGTGTTCCTGATAGGATATTAGATTATGAAAGAGGATGTGTGAGGAGGAATAATCGGATCACTGTTCAGGTATTTCTACATTCACCAAAGAGGTACATCCTGGAGAAGTTGTACATTTGGCAAATTTAGTGAAGAGAACTTCATTGGGGGATATATATTAAAGCAATTTGGTCCCATTAAAAAAAAATCCCCTATATGGTAGTGATGTGCCTTTTCAGCAACTGATAATTTT